TGCATTCTAACCCAACCGCCGCCATTTTGTTTTCGTACGCATGTTAGACAGTTCGTTCTATAAACGTAAACATATTTCTATCCCGTTTCAAAGATTATTGAAGTTACGTCCGAAGACCTGCAGGGTGGTTTCATCCCTCGAGTACATTAACAAAAGGTTAGGTCGCAGAAAGCGAAGCAGGCACATGCAATAGAAAGCTCACTCGCTCGCACACACGGACACAATTGTCGAGATCAGTGCAGGAAGAAAAAATAGGCGTTATCGTTTAGACTTGTTTTCGAACTTCTTTAATGTACCTATATATATATATTTATATATCGAAATTAGTGCTCGAAGCGAATGTAAAATGTTACGCTGTTCTACTATCCAAATCTCTTCCTCATATTTTTGTTCGTGTTAACGAGTCGAACACGAAGCTGGAAGCTTTATATTTCGTTTCGGAGCTTTCGAACGATGTCGGATTTTATTATCGAGTGATGTCCCTCGTTGAACATAGTAATAACCCTTACGTGCTAAGGAAGTCGCCTAGAATTATCGGTGGTATATTATATTTATATATATATATATATATGTAGTTAAGGTGTCGTCCAAAAAGTGTTTCTTCTTTTCTTCAACGTGTGCGTCCTCTGTTAGAACGTCAATATCGCTTTGGTTTCATTTGTTCTTTAAGTACATAGTATCGACAGAAAATGTTTCGAGACAGAGTCGGTTTCGAAATTTTCCGATTTGCAATTAGAGGCAGGATTATCGAGAACCCGGGGACGATTCGACCCGTCCCTATTTTCTCACTTTCAGTTATAAAAATACATGGATAAAGTGTAAACGAAGACAGTTCTCGATAATTCTGACCCGTTTCTTCCGATAACTTCGTTGAATTCGATTTATGCGGCTCTCGTTCTTCAATTTTGAGGTTATGACTCGACGAGGTTATGCTTCGAATTTCTACATGCAAGATGTTTAAAGATTTGCAATTATTGATATGTCAACGAAGATTTAATTATCGTAGGAACATGCGAGAAGATGCTAGATGATCTTTCAGAGTGAAGTCTAAACGATTTTTCCAGACGTCGTTTCACCTTGTTTAAATTTCATTTTAGGTACTTTGCTGCGTCACATTTTAACGAGTTCTTCATTTTTCTTTTAGATACCATCAGTGACAAATTTTATATGTAGATTTTCTGACCTGAATTTAAAAAAACATTACTGTGGGTCCCACTACACATTCTTTATGCAGATATCACCTAGTGACCTAATTTTTTCTTTCGAGTATCATCCGACGCAAAATTTTTATACGGGTTTTATAGATTTCTATGTGTAAACATTTTGAAAATAGTTTTCGACTATGCAGTTTTCATGAGTACCATTCATATCAAATTTCTTGGCCTGACTTTATAAAAAATTTCAAATTGAATTTTCGTTTGAGGTACCATTGTGAACAGTTCAACTTGAATTTTCATTTTAGGTACCATTGTGAACAGTTCAACTTGAATTTTCATTTCAGGTACCATTGTGAACAGTTCAACTTGAATTTTCATTTTAGGTACCATTGTGAACAGTTCAACTTGAATTTTCATTTTAGGTACCATTGTGAACAGTTCAACTTGAATTTTCATTTTAGGTACCATTGTGAACAGTTCAACTTGAATTTTCATTTTAGGTACCATTGTGAACAGTTCAACTTGAATTTTCATTTTAGGTACCATTGTGAACAGTTCAACTTGAATTTTCATTTTAGGTACCATTGTGAACAGTTCAACTTGAATTTTCATTTTAGGTACCATTGTGAACAGTTCAACTTGAATTTTCATTTTAGGTACCATTGTGAACAGTTCAACTTGAATTTTCATTTCAGGTACCACAATGAACACTTCAACTTGAATTTTCATTTCAGGTACCACAATGAACACTTCAACTTGAATTTTCATTTCAGGTACCACAATGAACACTTCAACTTGAATTTTCATTTCAGGTACCACAATGAACACTTCAACTTGAATTTTCATTTCAGGTACCACAATGAACACTTCAACTTGAATTTTCATTTCAGGTACCACAATGAACACTTCAACTTGAATTTTCATTTCAGGTACCACAATGAACACTTCAACTTGAATTTTCATTTCAGGTACCACAATGAACACTTCAACTTGAATTTTCATTTCAGGTACCACAATGAACACTTCAACTTGAATTTTCATTTCAGGTACCACAATGAACACTTCAACTTGAATTTTCATTTCAGGTACCACAATGAACACTTCAACTTGAATTTTCATTTCAGGTACCACAATGAACACTTCAACTTGAATTTTCATTTCAGGTACCACAATGAACACTTCAACTTGAATTTTCATTTCAGGTACCACAATGAACACTTCAACTTGAATTTTCATTTCAGGTACCACAATGAACACTTCAACTTGAATTTTCATTTCAGGTACCACAATGAACACTTCAACTTGAATTTTCATTTCAGGTACCACAATGAACACTTCAACTTGAATTTTCATTTCAGATACCACAATGAATAATTCAACTTGAATTTTCATTTCAGGTACCATAATGAACACTTCAACTTGAATTTTCATTTCAATTACCACAATGAATAGTTCAACTTGAATTTTCATTTCAGATATCACAATGAATAGTTCAACTTGAATTTTCATTTTAGATACCACAATGAATAGTTCAACTTGAATTTTCATTTCGAGTACCATTGTAAAAATCGCAACTAGAACTTGAAAATTCAGGTCACTTAAAATGAATTTCATTTGCAGTAACATAAAAAAGTTTTGAACTCTCCATTCAATTTTCTACCCTTGTACCTAAAATGTCCATCAGCCATAAAGTTTTTTGAAGAAACCGAAAGGATTCGTTGATTACAGGAAACGACTCGGCGAGCATTTTCCAAATCGTTCTTTTCCTCGTTCGTCGAAAAATCGTCGCGAATTAATTGCACCGTCGGATTAATCATGCGTCCTGCAATTAGAGAGCACCCCTCGAATCAACGAATCGAACTGTAATTTTTTTCGTCGAACCTCCGTGATTCACCGTGAATCTGTCTCGAAGCATTCGTTCAACAATAACAACGAGACGTTGATCGATTAGTCGACGTCCAGAGACGGGAAACAGATTAAGGTTATCTTTTTCTTTCTTTTTTCTTTTTTATTAATAGTACGCTAGAATCTCGAGCTAACTTTTAGATAAAATCATCTGTTGCCTAATCTCAGAAGAACAGGTATGTATATAATTCGCTAGAATTCTCTCTCGCTACCGTTCGTTTTATTTATTTCTTTTCTGCTCTCGTGAATAGATTTTAAGATTATCTCGTCCTACGTTGTGATTCGCATTGTTGGCTTAACGGCTAGGATGAATTTTCATTTCTCGCTACTGTTTAGGAATTTCAGACGCTGGTTAGCCTGAGAGGATAACGATGCCACGAATCGTTCGGTTTTTCGTATTCGGAACGGTCTGAGTTTAGGATCCTTGTATGATTTCACTGCATTCTTATTTAAATACTGTTAAGTAGAACTCGAGAACTTTAGACATTTTCAGAAAGCAAAATTTCAATTTTCTATATTTTATGGTGGCTAGATTTTTCAACCCTCTGTGATTGCAGTGAAGTATTCATATTCCAATTTTATATTTCGCATCAATATTGCACATAATATTCCAGCTTTAATACACACAAAGTTATTTTATATGAACATTGCAATCGTAAATAAATAATTTTCTCTCTGCATATATTGAAGAAAGGCAAGACTGAAGAATTATAAACATAGATTTTAACAATTCACATAAATTATTTTCAATATCAGTATTTTAATATCAGAGCAAAGATTGAAGTATTAATACTTCATAAATAATCCATATGATGAATAGAATACACCCTTTAAATATTTCACTAAATATCTCGCTTCACAAGAAGAAGTAGAAAATAAATTTGAAAGAAGACTAATAAAAGGAAGACCGCAACAATTGACACGAATCTCCATATAATTGACTGACAATGTATAATTGACTACGTTGAAAAAAGAGGGCAATTTGTGTAAAATTCCTCGGTGATGAGAAGAATATCCTTCCTATGGAAATATCCTCGCGAGCGCGTCGGTCGATTTTTCGTGAGAAGACAAAATGGCGGTGTAAGCGGTGCGCAACTCGCAGTCCCCTCAAGCCAACCAATAAGACGCATATTCTCACGCGTGCGTTCGTTAATTACAATTATTAAGGCTACTTCAAGCGGTTACAATACGTTAATAATTATCGACAAACTTCATTTTTTTTCGCTCGATTCGCACTATCATCGTTACTCTACTATAATTTTTAGTATGTATATCGATGATGCTTCCAGTGTAGTGTCGTAATTAGTAGTGGTAATAATAGTAATTAGTAGCAATATAGTAATAATAATAATAATAATAATAGTAATAGTAATAATAATAATAGTAATAATAATAATAACGTTTATCATTATTATCCTCACTGTTCCTTGTTAAACTGTTGTCTGTATGTAGTAGGTTACATAATAGATCTGCGCGGGTTCCATCGATCTTTTTCTCCTTTCATACTTCCTTTCTTTTCTCGATATTCTATCTCTCTCTCCGGCTGCATTTTTGCGAACAAACAGTGTAAGATTCAGAGAGATGTTGCACACGAACCACGAACGATCCAAGCAACGAGGGGAACTTTGTATCGTTTTCTCCTTTGCTCTTTCGGGATTGAAATTTTTCTGGTCCGATTTTGTTTTATCGTGGTTTCCTCGTCGTTCTGACCGATGTTGCTTCCTGGCCGATGTTGGTTAATACCGCTTTTTTTGTTTGATATGATTGTTCGATTCGAATGGACGGCGAGCTTTACGGACAGGATTTAAATAACAGATTCTTTACCTTTGCGATGTAGGTTAATGGAGAAGTTCAAAGTGTGCAGAAAATTTGAATGAAAATTGAATTGAATTAATGAAATCTGACAAAGGAAAATGAAAAATTCAGATGTCAAATTATTAAAGGCAATATTTAAAGTAGGTGTTTAAAGGCAAATTTTAAATAAAAATGTTTCTTCGAAAAAATGTGAAATCATCGCACCCTTACGTGCAAACGACAAATATGGGGTCAAAGAGTGAAAGTTCTCGAATAAATTGTATTCGAGGACGCTGAAGTGGCGAGTGTCACCGACGGACAGAAAGCTGACTGGTAGAAATTGGTGAAAAGAAATCGATCCGCGGTGTAAGCTCCCCATGAAAAATTATTCCTTCGTTGAGTAATGGAGCGTATCGACAACCCTAAAAACGGTGGTCACAGAGAGAAATGACTTTTATACATCTTCCAATATTGGAATTGGGTTTCCAATCTATTGTTATTAATTTCAGTACTTTATTGTATCGAACAAACTCTGATTTCAAATTTCGAGCAAAAAGGAAATTAGAAATTTGTATGACACTCGCTAAAAAATTTGCAAGTTTAAAATTCTAGACAATACAGTAGTTACATGTCAATTTAATTATTAAAAATTAAAAGCTCATGAGAAAGTTCTTCATGTTCGATTCAAGGATTTCACGAAGTCCCCATAAAATTCAAAGCCCTGGAGGTTAAAATTCAAGACTGCCATGAGGTTAAAATTCAAGACTGCCATGAGGTTAAAATTCAAGAACTCATAGAATATCAAAGATAATTTCACGGAACAGAAAATGAAACACAAAACTGCCGTCCATCGAGAAACGTGAGAGAAGGAAAGACGAGATGTAGAAAAGGTGAATGGAAATCGGTTCTGTCGATACATGAGCGACAACTATCGACCAGTCAGCATCCAGTCAGCAACAAGGTGGCCAGATTGAATGGTATAGCGCGCGATGCAACGTTCCTCCGACCTTGTTCGCGTTAGATGGATCCCGGTGCTTCCGTTTGCGGTTCCTCGTCGCTTCTAGCGACGTATTAGCCACGAAGTGTTCGTCCGACCACCAGCAGGACCATCGACGCAGCTACGATCACGATGGAGCTGCTGGACGCGAACGACGGGGCCGAATTGCAGCCATCTTGCTGACAACAGTACGTCCTCGTGCTCCAGGCCTCTGCAACAAACAGTCAGCCATTTTCCATTTTCTAAACTGGACATTTAGATGAGGGTAAGATAACGAGATAGTAAGATAATCGTGATTGCTGCTGTGCATTTATGAGGATGCATGTATGGATCTGTTTTGAAGGATTTGTTGGAAGAAGCTTAATAGGAGAGAACTGTTAAATGTCTATATTATTGGATGTTTTTAATGTGTAGAATGTTAGAGGTATTGTAGAGACATTTATATTGTAAATAGCTTGTAGTGTGTGGCTGACCAATGACATTATACTACTTGTCTGACTAGCAACCTTATTCTACTGGTTTGACTGGGGAACATATTCTACTTGTCTGACTAGCAGTCTTATTCTACTTGTCTGACTAGTGGTCCTATTCTACTTGTCTGACTAGCTGTCCTATTCTACTTGTCTGAGTGGCAGTCCTCTTCTACTTGTCTGACTGGCAGTCCTATTCTACTTGTCTGACTAGTTGTCCTATTCTACTTGTCTCACTAACTGTCCTCTTCTACTTGTCTGACTAGTGGTCCTATTCTACTTGTCTGACTGGCAGTCCTCTTCTACTTGTCTTACTAGCTGTCCTATTCTACTTGTCTGACTGGTAGTCCTCTTCTACTTGTCTTACTAGCTGTCCTATTCTACTTGTCTGACTAGCTGTCCTCTTCTATTTGTCTGACTAGTAACCATATTCTACTTGTTTTGTCAGGTACTAAATTTTAATTGTTCAACCATTAGCGACGTACTACTTGTCTGATTATTAGTCATTTACTACTTGTCTGACCAACAGTGATGTACTACTTGTCTGTCTAATAATGATACATTACTTGTTTGATCAACAATGTCATACAGTTTGTCTGACCAAAAGCGTCATACTACTTGTCTGACCAAAAACGTCATACTACTTGTCTGATCAAAAACGTCATACTACCTGTCTTACCAAGAGCATCATACTACTTGTCTGACCAAAAATGATGCACTACTTGTCTGTCTAAAAATGACATGCTACCTGTCTGACCAGTGGCATATACTACTTGTCTGACCAGAAGCGACATACTATCCCTTGAAATACCTGCTGCAAATTAAAATGAAATGTAAACGGTGAAGCGTGCAGACTAAAGAGATTAATCCGTGGTGTATCCAGGATAACAGAGAGTAAACGAAGAGACTGCGTTGCGGGGTGGAATGAAAAATTTCAGCGAAGAGTCTCACCCTTACGAGCTGGCATTTCCCAGAAACTCAGCCCAGTTTCCGGCTCGTTTTAAGGGAAATATTGCTTCCTAAACCGAGTTCTCCGAGCAGAACGCATCGGTGGCGCAATAACCATGGCGAAAGATCGATCCTCGGCTCGTTAAAGATGAAAAATCCAGCCTCGTTTATATCTGGTCGAAACACGAGGAAGCGGCGCAGGAAATTCGGTTGCAACGAAGAGAAGTAACCAGGCTTAAGGAACGCGACCGGGGGTGGAAAATGAACTGGGATGAGATGGTTGAGAAACGAGTTTCACGGTGAAGAATTTCTTATTGTAAACCGAAACGAGTATGAGACGTTGCGGAAAGTTATTCGATTCTTGTCTTACTCGAGTTTCGTGTAATGAACTTTACCTTTAACTTCCTCGACGTTTACATTTCATTTCCGGTTCGAAGAAAATTGCGTTTAATTTATCGACGCTTTTACGCTCGACCTCGTAAAACAAAGGTATTACGAAGAATTCGTAGAAATTGCCCCGTAAAAGATATGGAATTCGAAGTTATCGGTGGTGGCCGAGGAAATACTGAAACTCGTGGAAAATGAATTTTTCGAACGGGCAAATAAATGTTGCGGAAATAGAAGTCCGAGGAGGAAATTTGACACGTCGACTGGCAACATGTACGCTCCATTACGGGTTCAGAGGATTACAAAAGTTCCCCAGGATTTTCAGTTCGACAGCACAAGTAGAAAGTTTCACTCCCTTAATCGCATTACGCGAGTCAGCTGACGTTTTTCCGGCTGGTTTTCCGCGGAGCCTCCTCATTTACGGGAAATCTTCGAGTCAACAGGCTCTTCAACTACATCTTGTCGATCTCGGAAGAACAGTTCTGCCCGAGGCTCGATTTTAATGGGGAAATTCAGGGTAATGGCCGAATCGTTTAATACTTCACGACTGACTTTTTATATTGATTACTACTTTATGTGGTGGAGTAATTATTGATGCACTTCAGAAGATTCGAGGAGAGGAAGGATCTTTTAATTGTCTGATAAATGCTATATTATGGCTGACTAATTATTGGGTTTATACTACTGACTTGAGGGAGGTGATATGAGTGGGTGATTATTAAGGATATATTGCGTTATTGACGATTAGAGGCATGTAAAAATTTGGCTAAAATTTGGTTGAGCATGTACTACTGGTCTGATCAGCAGGAATATTCTACTTGTCTGACCATTCACCATGGATTACAAAAGTTCCCCAGGATTTTCAGTTCGACAGCACAAGTAGAAAGTTTCACTCCCTTAATCGCATTACGCGAGTCAGCTGACGTTTTTCCGGCTGGTTTTCCGCGGAGCCTCCTCATTTACGGGAAATCTTCGAGTCAACAGGCTCTTCAACTACATCTTGTCGATCTCGGAAGAACAGTTCTGCCCGAGGCTCGATTTTAATGGGGAAATTCAGGGTAATGGCCGAATCGTTTAATACTTCACGACTGACTTTTTATATTGATTACTACTTTATGTGGTGGAGTAATTATTGATGCACTTCAGAAGATTCGAGGAGAGGAAGGATCTTTTAATTGTCTGATAAATGCTATATTATGGCTGACTAATTATTGGGTTTATACTACTGACTTGAGGGAGGTGATATGAGTGGGTGATTATTAAGGATATATTGCGTTATTGACGATTAGAGGCATGTAAAAATTTGGCTAAAATTTGGTTGAGCATGTACTACTGGTCTGATCAGCAGGAATATTCTACTTGTCTGACCATTAACCACATACTACTTGTCTGACTATGAACCACATACTACTTGTCTGATTATTATCCACAGATTTAAATGTTTGCTTAACAGCCACATATTAGTTGTCAGTTCATCAGCTACATACTACATGTTTGATTTTGAGCCACATATTTATATGTCTGATTATTATCCACATATTTAAATGTTTGCTTAACAGCCACATATTAGTTGTCAGTTCATCAGCTACATACTACATGTTTGATTATGAGCCACATATTTATATGTCTGAATATTATCCACATATTTACTTGTTTGCCCAACAGCCACATATTACTTGAGTCTCCTTCAGCTACATACTACATGTCTGATTATCAGCCACATATTTACATGTTTGCCCAACAGCCACATAGTACTTGAGTCTCCTTCAGCTACATACTACATGTCTGATTATCAGCCACATACTACTTGTTTGATCATTAGCCTCATACTACTTGTCTGACTACCAGATCCATGTCTTACTTGTTCCTATTTTGCTCGAACTTAATACTTGAAGTATTTAAAACGAGAGTCATAAGAGACTAAGTACCCGAAGATTAAACTTCCGATGAAATTTCCTATGAAATCCGTGGGGGTCTAGGTTTGATCGGAAAGCTGTCACCAACAAATTGAGTCATAACTTCTGAAGAATATACCGTGGGCAAATGTCTGTAAGGCGGGAGTAAGAAGTTTCCTATAAAAGTTCGTCAGGAGAATGGAGGCCGACTGACAGGTCAGACATCCGCGGGGTAAAAATCACGGGTCGTTTCGTTGTTGGATGCTCCAATTTCAGGGCGATGCAGCTGCACACGAAGAGGAGCAATTCCAGCGCGGTTCGTGCGGTAAACCACGCGTACGCGAATCGACGTGCTCGCGCGTGCAACTCGGATTTCAAAGCGGGTAGAAGCGGATCGACATCTTTGAAGCGGCTACCGACCAACCATCCGCGGACCTACTTTACGATTTTCCAAAGGACTTTTCAACTGCTTTCGATTCTTTTCTCTTCGACACTGGGATGCTCGAAATAGTTGGTGAACTCGCAGGAGGTACTTCTCTTCGACGGAGTTTTATAAGCCATTGAAACGTGCTCCGCGTTACGTTTTCTGACTCGATCTTTGATGGAAGAAGATCCTAATTCTTATATCCTTCTTCATTTTTCGCTTTCAGTAGCTTCGCGATTGAACTGGTTATCGGGAATTAAGACCGTCGAAAGTTTTCCTGAACAGAATTTCTATGTCCATTGTAATATCCCGCGCTTTCAAACAGACTATAAGAGCGTTCCGTAGAATGGAACAATATTTTTATTCGATGTAAAAGCTTCACCGCAGCGGCGAAGTCTCTTATATAACGGGAAGAAACTGTTCGTTGTCAGTTCGGCTCCATTTGTAGCATTGACGCGCGAAAATATCTGACACCGAGAGCTTGTTGAAACAAATAACAAGCCGTACACCCGTTTAAAGGAAAATGGATGAGCAAGTTTAAAGCGGCTCTCTGGCACGGAACACGGACACGTTGTCATATTAGGAAGATAAATTCCGGCCGCAATTACATACGGAACGATAATGCAGAATGAAATTGTTCTGTCGCGTTCAACAGCCCTGAGGGAGTTATTTTCGTTCGCGAAAAGCCGTTTCAAAGAACAACTTTTAACGAGAGATTAATTGCTACCGTGAGAGACGAGTGCCTTTCACCGACAATTTATTCCAACTCGCGAGCATTAGCCCATTGTAATCCGATTAAAATCGTTCCTGCGACACTGATGCTCTTCAATATTACCTGTCGTTCATTAACTTCGTACTGGACGCGATAGTCCTGCATTCGAAATGCCTTTTCCGGCGATATATTATGTATGATTCGATCGAACGTATCCCGTGGCGGTACGGCACATTGCAAATAATGGTTGGGAATGTGCATATGTGATGCGGAGGGTGTGGTATGAGTGGCGATACAGGGTGTGGAATGTGTTATGAGTGGCGATATAACGAGAGGGAAAGAGTACGCGTAGGTAACGTGGAGGACTGTGGAGGCCTACTGTGCGTGGAGATACAATGCGTGGAGAGTACTACTCGTGGCAATATAATGCATAGAAACTACGCGTGGTGATATAACGCGTGGGAAGTACTACGTGGCGATATGACGCGTGGGAATGACTACGCGTGGTGAGATGGTGCGTGAGAATTACTATGCGTGGATAGTTCTATGCGTGGCAATATAACGCGTGGAAAGTACTACGCGTAGAAATTACTACGCGTGGCAATATAACGCGTGGGAATTACTACGCGTAGGAATATAACGCGTGGGAATTACTACGCGTAGCAAGATGGCGCGTGAGAATTAGTACGCGTGGAAAATACTACGCATGGCAATATAACGCGAGGAAAGTACTACGCGTGGAAAATACTACGCGTGGCAATATAACGCGTGGCGATATAACGCGTGGGAATTACTACGCATGGCGAGATGGCGCGTGAGAATTACTACGCGTGTGTGATACTACGCGTGGCAATATAACGCGAGGAAAATACTACGCGTGGCAATATAACGCGTGGGAATTACTACGCGTGGCAATACAACGCGTGGGAATTACTACGCGTGGCGATATAACGCGTGGGAATTACTACGCATAGCGAGATGGCGCGTGAGAATTACTACGCGTGGAAAATACTACGCGCGGCAATATAACGCGAGGAAAGTACTATGCGCGCAGAATACTATATGTGGCGATACAACACATGCAAAATACTACACATACCACTACAAAACGTAACAAATACTACAAGTGGTGATACAATACGTAACTATAAATATATGGCAATATAACGCGAGGCCATATAACACAACAAATAGTGAGATTACAAAGTAAATTTTCAATGACTATTTTGAAAGAATTATATTGATTTTCCTGCATTAAGCTTGCAAATAGCGTAAAATAAAACTCACCCTTTTCGACGCACGTCGGGACACAGTCTCGCACCGTCGAGCCCTCGCTGACGTATTTCTGCGAAACAAGAAGAGCAAAAACTGTTAGCGCCACGCAGCAAACAGAGAATTTTATTACGCGGAACACAATCACCGTAGGTATCATTCGCATGGAGGAAAATTTACATAAAACAACGAAGTCCCGTTTGATGGCGAGCGTCCAACCCCAAGAGAAACGCAAAAACGGGTAATAAAATTCGCAATAACGCTAAACACCGTGCAGAATAAATAAACGTGTGCAAATGAGGGTCGATAAATCGTTGTGGTATCGTCATTTAAACCGGGATCGAACAATTAACCCGCATTCCTGGAACAATAGTTGTTCTCGCAGTCGAAAGTAATCCAATAGTTTTCATTTTTTGGCGAAGTTGTTTTTTTTCTCGAGGAAAGGCGCGATTGAAAATTATCGGACGCGAAAGTCGCTTGATTCACCGGCGGATCTAAACGACCGATCGTCACGCGAAATTCGCGTTAACGCCGATAAAAATGGTCGAGTCAAATAAAGATCTACGTTTCGTGGGGAAAGCAATAACAAAACTTGCTGATCGCCGAGTATCGTGACAGCTGTGTTGCAACTGGAAGACTTTTTCAAGGTTCAGAAAACTTCTTGTTTTTGAAGCGTGAATTTTATGCAATTTTTACTGGATACGTTTTCTTTGCAATTAAATTGTTCCCTAAATTTGATACGTGAGAATTACTACGCGTGAATAACACTACGCGTGGCAATATAACGCGTGGGAATTACTACGCGTGGGAATTGCCACAATTGGCAATATAACGCGTAGGAATTATTACGCATAGCGAGATGGCGCGTGCGAATTACTACGCGTGGCAAAATAACGCGTGGAAAGTACTACGCGTGAGAATTACCACGCGTGGCAATATAAGGCGCGGGAATTACCACGCGTGGTAATATAACGCGTGGGAATTACTACGCATGGCAATATAACGCGTGGGAATTACCACGCGTGGTAATATAACGCGTGAGAATTACTACGCGTGGCGATATAACGCGTGGAAAATACTACGCGTGGGAATTACCACGTGTGGCGATATAACGCGTGGAAAATCCTACGCGTGGGAATTACTACGCATGGCGATATAACGCGTGGAAAATACTATGCGTGGGAATTACCACGCGTGGCAATATAACGCGTGGAAAATACCACGCGTGGCGATATAACGCGTGGAAAATTCTACGCGTGGGAATTACCACGCGTGGCGATATAACGCGTGGAAAATCGTACGCGTGGGAATTACTACGCGTGGCGATATAACGCGTGGAAAATACTATGCGTGGGAATTACCACGCGTGGCAATATAATGCGTGGAAAATACCACGTGTGGCGATATAACGCGTGGAAAATACTACGCGTGGGAATTTCCACGCGTGGCGATGTAACGCGTGGGAATTACTACGCACATAGATAATAGAGATTTTTAGATAAAAGAGAGTACGAGAAATTTTACTTGTTTGCTGTGTCGAGAAATATTGAGATGTTAGATATAAATTAGTTTGTTTAGTCGCAGGTTTGGTTAACTCTTTTTACTAATTATTCGTTCAGAGAATTTTGGAGGCCGTAGCAATTTCGCCCACCGAATTACGAGTGAATCGAAGCGAAATAAGATTCGCAAGCACTTGACGAGGTATTTGCTTTGCATTATCGGGAGCTGTTGGCGTCGTCTGTTTGCGTAAACTCGATTGATTTTCAACCGCGTCGCGACGCTAAACAATATTTGACGACAAACATTGTTCCTCCCTGGTGTGCACGGTAAACCAGTCATTTCTCGAAAATCTTTATCTGGACCATCTTACGACTATCCAATTTAAAAACATTATAAAACATACAAGTTACGTATTCCATTTTACGTTCACTAACCGTAAGAAGAACCAGGAGTACCAAAATACTTTCCGAGAAATTCAGAAGCATCCACCAAAATTTGAAAGACCCTAACGAGGTTTAAAAACCGTGATCTCCCAAAGTCCTGAAGTTTACAGGTCCGCAAGAAGGAAAAATTGCGAGATTCCAGGCGGAAAGGGTATCAAGAGAAAACAGAGAGATGCACGAAGGGCGGAAGCGGGGACAGGAAGAGTTTAATATGTACGGGAGCATCGGAGGAGTTGGAGGGTTTAATATGTACGACGTCCTCGGGGCGTTATAATCGTTGGGTATCGATCACTGGCCGCCTATGACGCAGTCTGCTCCGAGGGACTTCGAATTCGTCCAATCAGAGAACACAGGACGACCGAATGATGACCTCGTCCTTCCTAATCACCCTTTGACTTCGGCTCTGCCTTCTAACGTGGCGACGCGATCGATTCGCGATTATCGGCAGAAACGTCGAACCTCGATGAAGGAGAACAAAATTGGAAAAAATTCCAGCTGCTTTTTTTTTACTCCTGTCTCTTCTTATTCAATGGGATACTCGATACTCTTTATTCGCCAAAGATATTTATTAATAATTATAGCTGCGTGGATTTAGGGTCTACCAGTAGATAGAATAATTCAAATTATATGGAATATTTAAAATATTTAGTATTGTAGAGCACTTTGGGAATTTAATAGAATTTAATTTTTGTGTAGGTGACTTGGAAATATTCTTTTATCTAGAATAATGTGGTTGGTGGTCAGACAAGTAGTATGGGCTTATTGGTAAGACAAGTAGTATGTGCCTACTGGTCAGACAAGTAGTATGTGCTTACTGGTCAGACAAGTAGTATGTGCTTACTTGTCAGACAAGTAGTATGTACTTAGTAATAAGACAAGTAGTATGTGCTTTCTGGTCAGACATGTAGTATGTGCTTACTAGTAAGACAAGTAGTACGTTCTTAGTGATCAGACAAGTAGTATATGCCTACTGGTAAGACAAGTAGTACATATTTAGTGATCAGACAAGTAGTACATACTCAGTGATCAGACAAGTAGTATGTGCTTACTGGTCAGACAAGTAGTATGTGCTTACTAGTCAGACAAGTAGTGCGTACATAGTGATAAGACAAGTAGTATATGCCTACTGGTAAGACAAGTAGTACATATTTAGTGATCAGACAAGTAGTACATACTTAGTGATAAGACAAGTAGTATGTGCTTACTGGTAAGACAAGTAGTATGTGCTTACTAGTCAGACAAGTAGTGTGTACTTAGTGATAAGACAAGTAGTATGTACTTACTGGTCAGACAAGTAGTATGTGCTTACTAGTCAAACAAGTAGTACGTTCTTAGTGATCAGACAAGTAGTGTATGCCTACTGGTAAGACAAGTAGTACATACTTAGTGATCAGACAAGTAGTATGTGCTTGCTGGTAAGACAAGTAGTATGTGCTTACTAGTAAGACAAGTAGTATATACTTAGTGATCAGACAAGTAGTATGAGCTTACTGGTCAGACAAGTAGTGATTGCCTTTTATTCTTGTACGTAGTCCTCCATGTTCAACACATAATATCGGCAATATCATATTTTTAATTAAATGAAACAAGTAGCATAAAAGTGTTTCAAGTATAACTTTGCTCGTGACATGAAATTGTTAAAAGGTACATGAAAATGGATAACGAGAATACTTCTTTTTGGGCTCTATGTTCAACGTTTGACTTGACTGATTCCGAGGTAGTTGAAATTTAAAATACAGAGATGGGTTTCATGCGAGATAAAAGTGGTAGCTAGTTTTCTAGCTGATACGAATTCACCTGGTGCAGGTGGAAAATGATATTTACGATATCTACTTTAAACGTGGTGTTTTGGATCTCTTGTTCAGTATTATACTGTGATTCTACGTCTAGAATGGTAGATAAAATGTGGAATAAAATTGAGAAAACTTGTAGTGGTGAAAAGAGTGTATTGTAATATTATTGGAAGTAAAGTTATTAAAGTAAAGTAATAACAAAATTATTCGAAGAAATTAGAAATTTTATAACGTCACACATTTTCGTAAAATTTCCTAATTAGAACTGTATGTCGCAAAAATTTCGAGAGAAGCTTCCAAGAGAAACAGTCAGATATTTCACAAATTATTCGCAAAAGAATTAACTCCAGCGTTATTCATTTCATGGTAAAAACGTTGTAATTACGTAAACCGAGTTATTTAAAATAATTATGGTGTGTGTCTTCTCGGTTTATCCCACTGAAATTTGCTCGTTTTTCAGGCGTGTTTGAAAGAAACGCCGCTACGTTCACGAGTAATCACAGGAAAGTAGGATATACTCGCGCTTTGCAGCAATTTATGACACCTTTAATCCTATTCACGCACGTAAGCCAGCCTTTTTTACTCTCTTCAGGAATCCCCATTGAGTTTAAGCCGGATATTCCGAACGAAACGGGACGCGATACTCGTTTATATCCTTCCTGAACGTGACATGAATCAAACATGGCCATTTTGTTCCACTAACCTATCCATCCATCAATTATAACCTTTTACATCAACTAACAAAGATCCCCGTTTTTCAGTTTACGCCCCAAAGGTGCAACAGTTTGATTTCAAAAATTTCGCCCAAAAGTAGAATCTACATTTAAGAATATATATTATTTATTCTGCAGTTATAAATAATTAATCATAGATACATTTCATGTATATGTTTTTTTTGAGGCAGACTGATGTACAAGGTTTGTCACACAAGTAAGTGACTGGTAGTAAGACAAGCTTTACGTGCTCAGTGGTCAGACAAGTAGTAAGGGACCAGTAGTCAGACAAGTAGTATGGACTTAGTAGTCAGACAAGTAGTACGAGCTTACTAGTCAGACAAGTAGTACGTACTTATTGATAAGACAAGTAGTTTGTGCTTACTGGTCAGACAAGTTATATGTACTTAGTGAGCAGACAAGTAGTATGTGCTTACTGGTAAGACAAGTAGTACAAGCATACTAGTCAGACAAGTAGTACGAACTTACTATTCAGACAAGTAGTATGTACTTACTGATCAGACAAGTAGTATGTGCTCACTAGTCAGACAAGTAGTACGTAGTTATGGATCAGACAAGTAGTATGTGCTCACTAGTCAGACAAGTAGTACGTAGTTATGGATC